TTTAGTAGATACGGGGTTTCACCCCGTGTTTAGCCAGGATAGGTCTCGCATCTCCCTGACCTCGTGATCCGCCCGTCTCGGCCTCCCAAAGGTGGTGGGATTAACAGCTCTTGAGCCACCGCGCGGCCCCGAATTACTTGATGTGTTTTTTATTATTCATTATTTAATGTTAGTCTATTGTTGTGGCCTGATTTGTGCTGCCACATTAAAATAAGCAATACTTTATTTTAGTGAAGCAAGATTTTAGGTGTTACAGAAAAAATTGGGTGAGAGTATAAAGTACAGAGGATCCGGTAAACTTCCTTCGCCCGTCTCGACAGTAAACTAAACTTGGCGATTAGTGTGTGATAAATTTTGTTACATTGACCTTAAATATGTAATACATTATGTATGTATTATGATTATTATTATTATTATTATTATTATTATTATTTTGAGGCAGAGTTACACTTTTGTTGCCTAGGCCCAGCTGATTTTTGTATTTTTAGTAGAGATGTGATGTCACCATGTTGGCCAGGCTGGTCTTGAACTCCTGACCTCAGGTGATCTGCCCGCCTCCCGCTCCCAAAGTGCTGGGATTACAGGCGTGAGCCACCGTGTCCAACCAATTTTATTAATTTTTTGAAAGAACCAGTTCTTTGTTTCATTGGTTTTTCTCTTATTTTTTTCCTGTTTTCCATTTAATCAATTTTGTTCTTACTTTTATTATTTCCTTCCTTCTGCTTGCTTTGGATTTATTTTGTTCTTATTTTCCTAGGTTCTTGATGTGGAAGCACAGATTATTGATTTGAGATTTTCCCTCTTTTCTTTTTTTTCTTTTTTTTTTTTTTTTTGAGACGGAGTCTTGCTGTGTCACCCAGGCTGGAGTGCAGTGGCTGGATCTCAGCTCACTGCAAGCTCCGTCTCCCGGGTTTATGCCATTCTCCTGCCTCAGCCTCCCGAGTAGCTGGGACTACAGGCGCCCGCCACCTCGCCCGGCTAGTTTTTTGTGTTTTTTAGTAGAGACGGGGTTTCACCGTGTTAGCCAGGATGGTCTCGATCTCCTGACCTCGTGATCCGCCCGTCTCG